TACAACGAAAGAAAAATAATATTAGGAGTGGGTTAGACCTGATCGCCAATATAAACAAAATAAAATAAAAATGTACCGAATGAATATATTCAGCACTCTAAAGATAACGAATACATAAATAAAATAAAAAATAAAAAAAATTCTAGTTTGACATCCGTTTTGCTCATAATGCGAATCAAGAAGTATCTTGCAGAATCTTCATCGAGTTTAAATGCAGAATCTTCAGCGTCCACGTCTTTCTAAGGAGCATCTCAATTTTTGGTTCAATGCAATGGCCTCGAGAGGTATTCAAAATCCCATTTTCAATTTTCTTCTCGTTGGAAGAGTTTCCATGTGAATTCACGGATTTTGCCAAATTGTTTTCTTCGGTCCCTGGATTTTCCATCTATTGCAAGTTCCTTGATTTTCTGATATCTACAATATGGTCCCTGCATTTTGTTAATTCTGGACAAAGTAAAACTAAGACTCACTGTCACATTGTCCTCATCTTTAATTAACTCTATCACGAACAATTAAACATAAAATATGACAATAACATCTCATTTGGAAAAAGAAGAGACTAAGAGTACGTTTGGTTTGCATTTTTGTTTTCTGTTTTGAATTCAATTTCTGTTTTTTGTTTTGATGGATTATTTTAAGAGGGTGTTTGGTAGATATTTTTATGTAAAAATGTATTTTTGAATAGTAAATTGATGGGAAATGTGTGGTTGAAAAATAAGGAAAAGTTTTTGATTTACGTGTAATATTATTTTACTAAAGAATGTGTGGTTGAAAAGAAGAGAGAAAAATGCATTTTCAAAAAAAATGGGTACCAAACAGGCTCTAAGAATACAAAAAACGCATTTTTTTTTGTCATTCTAAAAAAATATTTTTCAAAACAAAAACTTAGAAAACGCGTTTGGTTTAAAAATTTTAGAAATAGTTTTATGATAAATTTTTTCTTCAATTAATTTGATTATTTAGTAAAACATTTCAACATTATGCTGATATGTGATCAAAAACATAAATCTTAAAGTTGGTAAACAAAGTCATTGTAAGTATATATTCAACAATTGCATCGAAATCATCCGTACATAATAAATCATTGATTATTTTATCATCTATGCACTTACATAATAACATCACTATTGGAGGAGCCGAGAGAGAGAGAGATGGGCATTCGTGTTTGGGTATATTTTATGTGATTTTATTGATTATTTTAAATTGAGAAATTTGTAAGTTCATTTTTCTTGTTTCAAGTTTTTTTTTTGAGTGTTTTCAAAATATCAAAAAGTTATTTTAAATTTTATGTTGTAAAATTTTCCTTGTTTTTGAAAACGCGTATTGAAAATAATATACCAAACACGTTTTGAGGGTTTTATAAAATTGGAAACTAAAAATGACTTCAAAACGGCAAACCAAATGCACTCTAAAACTTTGTTTGATTCCCATTCCCATTCTTGGGGTAAAGCGTATTGTGGAATAGTGATTTTTGAAGAATGTGTAATTAAGAAGTAATACATGTATAATTATTTTATCGAAAAATGTATAGTTGAAAATGAAATTTGAAAAAATACGTTCTTGAGAAAATGTGTCTCTAGCCCTAAACTGTGATGAGCAAAGGACATATGCGGCGCCTCCAATCTTGAGGGACTTGGATTGTAATGAACCCCACACAATTCGAATACTGTATCCGCCAAAGCAAACCTCTGATCTTATCATTCGAAATGCTTTCTCCAGAAACAAAGCATTTTAGATAAATATGCCGCCCAGATTTTCCTTTTCATTCAATTTTTCTATTTTTATTTTTTGGATTTAGGTGGGAGAAAATTGGCATATAAATCTATTCATTGCAAGTATTTTGTATTCTAGCATAAATCTAACATAAATCTAACCCAAAAGAGCTCTAACGACAACAAGAAGAAGAAGCTCTTTTACCACTCGAGCATTTTTATCTAATTTAACTATTTCTTTCAAATAATAAATTTGACATATATCTAACCATCCTCCACGTGAAAGAAATAATTAGATATAAATATTATTCTAGAGTGAGGAAGAAATCATATACGTTTACGTATCTTTCAACTTGAACATTGGCTTTATATATTCTATCGAAGTTTCCAACTGTATAGTAAATTATGTCTTGAACTATACAATAGAACACAAACACGATTTCCAAGACAATCCCTGATGTTTATTTTCGACCATAAATTTTCCCAATTTCTTCGAGTGTTTTAGAAAGTTAGCCTCAATTCTTATCGGAAGTAACCCCACTTCCACAATTAAATAGATGCTTCTAATAAGAATTCATTGTATCTAAGCAACCCAGTGAAACAACAGCCACCAAAGCATTAAAAGTCGTAATTCATTCTCCGACAAATACAATTAGGACTACTACATAGGGGGTTTGAATAAATTTAACGTAGGACCCCATAGAACACTCCAATAATCTTATTGTCTCATTGAACATTGTCAATAGAATTTCCAATCACAAGGTTGGATTTTCGTAATAGGTGATCTAATATCTAATAGGTTTTAGAGTGAATAAAACCGGGGATCTGGGGTTTATTTATAGAGGTTGAAAGGTTTTGCCCAAAAGACACAACAATCGATAGGTTGTGTTTTGGAAGAGACATAACTCATTTGGACAGGTAGTTAAAACTGTAACCAACCACCAGTTTCTAGAAGAATCCACGTGTCTCGCACAGAAAATTCGGGGAAGAAAAAATAAATTATATAATAAAAATATATTATTAATTAATAAAATAATATAATTTAAAATATTATTTTACCAAAAATATATATACCAACTCGCCCAAGCCCACGATCCGGGCCCGTACTAGTGCCGAGCCGGCCGATCGGATGGCGACCAATTTTGTGTGGATCTTGTTGGTAAAACTATGAACGTAATGTTACCTTCACAAATTCGACTGATACAAATTTTGGATTTACCGACCCAACTTCAAAATATGACATTCCAACAACAGCAGAGAACATATATTCGGGATTGAATGCGATTCAACCATAGAACTTTTTCGACGAGTATATGTAGTACGAAGTAAAATAAATTAATTAAATACAAGGAATGATAATTTTAGAATAATTAAAATAATATTAAAAATAAGAAAACGTCTTATTATACTTAGGCTTCATCTAGACTAGTAAGGTTTGAGACTTGATTCTACCACATTGTCACGTCTTATGCCTTTTACAACCTTACGTAGTACTACATTTTCCTGTCCAATAGCCCTCCGAGGCATAATCCAGTGGTGCAAGCAATAGGAGTGAGGTTACCTCACGCCTTGTTGGCAGCCGTAGTGTGGGAGTTCAATTCCTGAGATATGGAATTGGACTCCTTGTAGGCGCAGTGTACAGGCAGCTCTTGTTCCCTGACCTATTGAGGCACATCCCGCTATTTATCTCCCTCACAAAGATCAGGGACAAGACAATAGGGGCCTCAAGATTGGAGTTCAACCTTTACATTTTCCTGTCCAATATCACATATTAAATGCGAATCTAATGTCTTATCAAGCTAAGGACGTTGGCATTTAGCATTAACTTGATTTCCTAATTTAGTTTCACAAATCAAAAGTAATATTATTATCTTCTATCCAAAACTCTATATAGAAAAATGAATCAATTCATAATTACTTACCAAAGTATTCATCTAAGTTTAATTAGGAAACAAAATCCGAGCTGCACCACAAGAAAAAGTTTAAATATATTGAGGACTTCATTAACCTAAAGCGATAATTTTAACAGTGATAACTAAACTTTAGATTAAATTTTCCTTCGACAGCTAAACTTTTAATTGTTTCATTTACATCACCAAATTTTGAAAACTGTTTCAACTACACCACCGTGCTAGTCTTGCATCCATTTTTTTTTATTTTTAAGTTCAATGGTTGTGTAAATGAAACATGTTTAATTCACCAAACTTTGAATTGTTACATTTACATCACATAGTTTAAAAATTATTTCAGCTACACAAATAGGTTGTTACATGCCGACCCCATCGTCAAGACCTACTATGATATATTACTGTTTTACGATAAACAAAATAATGAATTTTATAATGAACATGTGTAAAAAATCACATATCGATATTCAGCTCAAATGGAACACATATAAATTGGTAATGGCTCTAAAATCAATTAACTTCATTTGTCTATCATGTGATTAGTAAAGATCACATTTAGCCTGATGGTAAATCAATATCTAAATAATATCCATCGTCAGCATATCTTACATTTTAGATCCCCAGCGATGATTTGGGACTTATGGTGTTAGTTTGGTATCTTATACACCAGCGTGACAAAACATTAAATAAAGGTTGGCAAATATGCTAACATTAAAAATAAAAATATAAAAATATAAAGGGGGGGTGGGGTTAACTTCACTGATGGTCTATGCAGTTCAAGTAAAATATCGAATTGGTCTAAAGTATTTTTATGACCTATGTAGTCACTAAAATTAAACAAATACTACATAATTGGTAATTTTGTTAGTTCGATTAAAAGTATACTCAATGTAGTAGCTGTTAAATCTTAAGTGAATTAATGACAATCAAAACAATCAATTCCTTCTTGTTAGTTATCTCTTTTGGCTTTGTCGTAACTTTTTCTATTTATTGAGAGAGAGAGAGAGAGAGAGAGAGAGAGAGAGAGAGATTAGGGTCTACTAAAACGATTTCAATTTCTTGGTTGAATATAATTTTGTTTCCTTCTAAAAATAGCGCGATCTTGAAAATATCTAATTTGATAACACGAATACAATGATTGGAAGTAAAGGAGGTATGAGACTATGGTGATAATGAGTAATGCTATTTGTACATCGTTATGTACAAATTGATAGCATGAAAAAGAGAAAAGAAAAAAAGAAAAAAAGAAATGAAAATGAAAATGAAAATGAAAATTAATTAATATAATCCATTATCAATCTATACATCAATATGTTGACAATAATGTACAAGTAATATTACTCGTTAATCATTATGATTATGTGATATTATTGAACTTTAGGGACCATTTTTGTAATTAACTCAATTTAAAGATTGCAGTCAAGATGTTTGCTATATCCCTCCACTTTTAGCTTCACTTTTCCATATATTCTGTTTACAATATTTCTCTGTAACCCGAAGCTGTTCTGTAATGAGAATCGATGTTCTGATGGAATGGGAGAAACAAAACGTTGTGCAAGTTGCAGATGAAGTTAATAACGGAGTAGTGAATAATGGAGGAGTTTTTGTGAAGGTGATGACAGATGAACAAATCGAAATCCTTCGCAAGCAGATCGCTGTTTACGCCTCCATTTGTGAACAACTTATCCATTCCCACAAATCTCTTACTCTTCAACACGATCTTGCAGGTTTTTGTTTCATTTCAATTCCAATTTGTACTTTGATTGAAGGTTTTATTTTTTATTTTTTTTCTACTGATTTTGTGCTACTTTACCATTTTTCAGTAATTAAACAATTAATTATGGTCGTGTATAGTTTTGATTTTCTATTTGTTTCATTGATGGCTGGTTTCGCCAGTTTTAATTTCAAATTATTAGCGGAAAAGATTTTGATTATTGGGTTAACGCTATATTTAGTCAAGGTTACTGATTTTTCCCTCAATTACTCTTCTAATTTTTTTCTTATTAATTACACTGGCCATATTACTCTATTGGGATTTCGTAATTAATATAATTGATCTTCAAATATAGTTAAATATGACTTTCTTGTCTGTCAAAGAGTGGATCGGTTGATGAACTCGATCAAGAAAAACATATATAATTGACCTGTAGTCACTACAATTTCTTGTAGGCCAGATGGATATGGGAAATCGGTACCATAATTTCATTTATCCAAAGATCATTCAATTTCCTTGCATTCAGATTATATGTTTGGATAAACAGTGTTTAGTTCCCTATGTAAAGTGGTATTCAACATTGTGCATCAGGGGCGAGGTTCGGAAATCTGTATTATGACCCCTTAATGACCCCTGGAGGCCATAAAATTACTGGCAGACAGCGGTGGACTCCAACAGCGGTTCAACTTCAGATGCTTGAGCGTATATTTGATCAAGGGAATGGAACTCCAAGCAAACAGAAAATCAAAGAGATAACATCTGAATTGTGCCCACATGGCCAGATTTCTGAGACTAATGTTTATAATTGGTTTCAAAATAGGCGTGCTAGATCAAAAAGGAAGCAACAGGCTGCACCACCAAATACTGCAGAACCAGAAGCAGAGACTGATGCTGAGTTGCCAAATGAAAAGACAACAATTCCAGATGATTTTCAGACTCAGCACGTCCCAAGTTCAAAGGTTGAAGATCTGAGCTTCAAAAACCCTGGGGCTAGTTCTGCAATGAATTCTATGGATCCACCACAAACCAGGAAGCCTGAAAGCATGCTGCCTCCAGAAGGCTTTTTGAAGCATGGTGGGAGTTTTGGTCAGGTGCCGTGTGGAAACATGTTATCTAATCCAGGTAGCTATTCTTTTCCCTGACATATAATAACAGTTATAAAATTGACAGTCTATTTTACGTAGTTACATGACATTTATGAAGAAATATTTTTTTTTTCCTTCTATTTTTGTGCATTTAAATATGAAACTGACTACATGACATTATCTTCAAAATTTTGGACATCTTGTTTTTTGGTGCATCATCTTGCATGGTGTGTTTTGAGATTGATGAGAGCTCCTCTCCGTTCTTCACAATGAAAATTGGACCGAGCATTAAAAAAGTTACACCACAATTCAATTTACTGATTGTTTGAGTGATGCAGAGCTAATAACCACGTTATCTGAATAGAAACATTCACGCTGCAATTCAACGTACATAAGCACGTGAAAATCAGATTCTCTTAGGTCAGCAAGGATGTTTAACGAGCAAGGAAAGTGCTTGTTTTATCTTGCCTTAAAATAAGCATTTTTCTCAAGCCAAAAGTAGCCGTAGGTTGTTTTCCGAAAAAGTTTCATGTATTTTCTAGCTTAAAATGATCTGTCTGATGCTAAAATCAAGCTCTTCACCCAAAAGTCTGCTATGTCATTTTGAAGTCTCTAGCTTTTATTTTTTTATGCTTTAGTTGAATGGAAAAATATTGAATGCAGGAATAGACCACTTGATTGGAAAAATGGAAGTTCCAGAGGACTATGATTCTTACCTTCAACCAGACGACTTCAACATGACTGGCTAACAACCTATTTTCGTCGTAGTGATGTTTCTTCTTGACCTCGGCAACCTTTGTTCTCAGAAATACCACGACCGCACATGAAATGCTGAATTTGTTATGTTGTTGCAGTCGTGATTATCGGAGTGCAGTAGTTGCTTTTTTAGTAAATTGAAGTTTGTTTCCATTCCTTGTACCCGATCCTTGATGATCTGTTCGGTTGTTTCGTTTTCTTGCATCCCTTGTATTGATAAATAATGGTTGTTCTTGTTAAGAACAAGTGTTTGATTTTATATTTAGATTTCAATAAAGATATCCTCCGCAATTTTTTCACGTACTTTAGATAAGCTTTTATTTTTTTGGATTGAACTCGACATATTCATATTTTAGTGTAACTAAGATAGGAAAAATTGCACCCCCGGTACAAATCTATTATTTAATTAACAAATTGGTCTCTAACCTTTAAAAATGAATTATTGATTCTCAAAAGGAATACGCCATTTGGACACTCCATGCCTGACTTATTCTTGACATTGCCTTAGTTTTAAAAATAAAAAACAAAAAAATGTTGGTGGGAAAACCTCTTTTTTTTTTTGCGAAATCGGCAAATTACCATATGTCACATGGCAAACTATCAAACTTGATGCATATCAAGCATGATTGTTTTCAAAATTACAATTATGTATCGCAATCAATCTTGTACAAATATTTGTTACAAGTTGTCGTGTAATCCTACTCATGTTTTATTGCAATTGTTGTGAAGCTAAGTTTTTTTCTTCCTTCAACTTGGACAATTGCATAGAAATTTAAGGTATACATGTTCCACAAAGATTGATGAAATCTTTTAATGAAAATTTGACCACTATTTATCAAAATTTAGTCAGCACGAGGCGCTTTGGACTAAACAACGATAGCCTCAAAACACTTGATAAATGAGCAGTCATTTGTTCTTCGTTATTCGTATTCTATGAAGCATAAAAAATTGGTTTTCGTCGAAATTCTCAAAGTTTGCCATGAACCTTGCAACGGTACTCTACACAGCTGTAGCTTTCTTCCTGTCATGTTGCTAGTAGCTTTGACCATGTTAGGTTAGGCTTGAAAAGAAGTACAAGGCCAGTTTTAGATTGCTTTTTAACAGGCTACTTTCTAAAATGTAAACTTTTACATTAGTTTCTCTTCATCTTTTAGTTCCATCAAGACCCTTATCTGTGGTTTTTGAGCCATTTGCTTTGCTAAATTTCTCATAGCGGTTTTGATAATAAATAGCAAGATTGTTTTTTGTTTATTTGACATCAATGACGCCCCATCACCTTGTGGATCATACGTATCTATATCCTTTTAAAGGTTGAACCTCAACCTTGAGGGTCTCCACCGCCCCGTCCTTAAAATTTTGTGAAGGAGATAAATCTTGGAATGTATCCCAAAAGGTCAGAAAACAAGAGTTGTCTGTATACTGTACTTACAAGGAGTCCAATTCCATGTCTCGGGAATCGAACCCCCACACTGCGGTTGTCAACAGGCGTGAAATAACCTTACCACTCCTATCCTTTGCATCACTGGACTATGCATCGGGGGGCCATATCTGTATCCTCTTAGGAATATGAATGGGAGAGGGGAGGGAAATATGGTGGAGTTGATCAGGCAGGAATATTTGAGGTTGATTAGAGAAGAAATTGAATTTTTTATTTTTTATTTTTCATGATTTTCAATTATTTAAATGGACTCATTTGTATTTTATTTATTTATTATTATTTGTATTTTATTTATTTTTTGAAAAAACGGTGATTATGATTAAAATTATTATTATTATTTTGTTTATTTAAAGAGGATAGTAAATTCATTATTTTACAAGATTTTAATATAAAAATTGGACAGTAGGAAGGTTTTGCATAATGTTTTCTTGATATCGGGGTATATTTTGTCAAAATAAAAGGATATGGACGAATTGCATAAAATATTACCCTAAATGAATTGTAAGTTATATATCGTTAAGCTTCACTTGAAAAGGGTAGCCAATTCGTTCAATATTTTTTAAGTTTAACTCACTTTTTCCAAGTAATAAATGAATTGTGTTTATCATTTGGTATTCTCGTTCACATTGAAAATCATTTATCTTGGTTTACTTTTGAGAATTGGAGGTTGGACATAGAATGTTAAATAATTAAGCAGAATTATTTTCTTTCTTGATAAAATTGAAAAAGGTTCTTTAGATGCCATATTAGGATCAAATTGATACACTGGTTAAAGATTGGAACCTCTTCCGCTAATTTTTCAAAATTAAGGTAGAAAATTAGTTAACGTTTGACTGACAATACTGACAAGAAGAAGAAAAGTCATGGTGTCTGAAAGAATTGGGTTTCCCATGATTCTATGCCCTTTTTTTAGTCCCATTTTGGCCAAGAAAATATATTTTTGAATAATGTAATGATGTGCTAACATTAAAAAAGAAATGTTAATTTCACTAATGGTCTATGCAATACAAGTACAATGTCAAATTGGGCTGAAGTATTTTCATGACCTATTTAGTTAGTAAAATAAAACAACTACTACATAATTGGTCACTTCGTTAGTTCGATTAAAGGTATACTTGATGTAGTAGCTGTTAAATCTTAAGTGAGCTAATGACAATTAAAACAATCAATTCCTTCTAGTTGGTTATCTCTTTTAGCCCTGTCATAATTTTTTTCTATTTATTGGTATAAAGAAAAGGGGGTTAGGGTTTAATGAAACGATTTGAGTTTTTGGGTTGAATGTAATTTTGTTTGCTTTTAAAAATCACATGATCTTTAAAGGTATAATTTGATGACACGAATACAATGATTGGTAGTAAAGGAGGTGCAAGAGTACGGTGATAAGATTAATGACATGAAAAATCGAAAAAAAGAAAAGAAATGAAATGAAATAAAATTAAGTGGAAATTACACCATATGTCAAAATCTTGATTTTTACTTACACAAATGTCATCCTTTTTCTGACATTACAAATATGGCAAATTATGAAAGTTTTGGACTAATTTACCCCTCTGCATAAATGTAATACCTTACAGGTTTTGCATTAATTGTAGATTTGACTAGGCAGTGTTTGGAGAAGAAAAACAAAGAAAAAAAAGCGAGATGAAGGAAGAGAGCCAAACGTCGCCTCTCACCCAAAACAACGTCGAAGCTCTCTGCAATCGCCGACCCTCTCTCTGCCCTCTCTCTGCAATCGCCGACCGCAGTCACAGCCTTGGACGACGATCGTCAACGTCGAAATCACTCCCAGTGGCCGTCGAATCGCCCGAAGCTGAGCACAACGTCGAGGCCGTCTTCTCCCTTGCGACTGCCAGAAAACCGAACAAAGGCGAAGGTAAATCCACCCATCTTCTAACTTCCCATTGTAATTTCAAGTTTTGTTCCTCTTTGTTGGCCAATAGTAGGATGCAGCCACATTTCTTTCATTATGCAATTGTTGAACAATTAGAAGGTGCAGATTGCTTTTTGAAATGCACATTTTATTTCCTTTGAAGAAGTAATTTTTTTTTTATTTTCGTTAGTGAAAATTATCATTGAATCTGAATTCAATTGCTGGCGGCCTCCTCTTGCAAGATGCCTTTTGACTTGTAATGTTATGCATACAAGTATTTTCTCTGTACAATTTATTGCAGTTTTCCTAGCAAATTTTGTACCGTTCGTAGTGTTTATCATGATATAGTTGTCACTGTCTTCTTAAGCTCAGCATTGGTGTACTTTCTAGATATTTTACAGTTCATGATATTACTGTTGTCCTAAAAAGTGTGTGAATTGGTGAAGTTTTTGGAATGTCAGAGAAGCTTGTGCTTGGTATTCCTTATTTTTGTGTTTTCCTCCACTTGTATATGGCTCGAAGTCCATCCTAGTTGGATGGTAGGGATCGAACTCTAAGAATTACTCGTGCCATTCTTCAATTTAGTTGTTTAGTGTACTTAAACATTTCTGAGCTTTTGATTCCATGTGGATCGCGTCATGTGTTTTCAACCCAACTGTTTTTTAG